ACACACACACACACACACACACACACACACACACACACACACACACACACACACACACACACACACACACACACGTCATGATGATGACGTCATCATCATGTACTTAAAAACAGTACTTAAAAACACATTGTGACGATGACCAACGTCATCGTCACAATGTGTTTTTAAGTACTGATTTGTTTGTATTGAGCCATATGATATTTGCCCTGTTGAAGGTGCGTTAGTCACCGAGCCGGTAGGCAACTCATTTAATGGCTGGTCCATTCTTTTATTAAAGGACCTTTTACTTTTTACCTTAAATCTTGGTGTGTAGCCTGTCTTTCCATTGTTTTTATTCAATTTATTCTTCAACAAATCTCAGCAAAGTCATTCTGCATTTTCACAACAAGTCATCTGTCTTGTGACTTAATGTTTTGTGTTTGAAGAACTGTTTTCTCGTCAGTCTTGTCAAACTGTTATCATTGCTGTGTTTTTATTTGCTTTTCATGAAGATAAAATCTACGCCGAGACAAAAAGGTTAAAAAAAAAAAATCTGTGGATTGTCTTCCTGCTCACTACACGTGCATCTTTGTTCAAAAGCATAAAACAAACTATTTAACAGAATATAGTTCCTGTAAAGAAGTAAAACGCCTTGAATAAATGTTATGTTAAAGATAAACTCGGTGCTCTCACTGCTGGCTCCACCACCTGAGTAAATACTCTATTCAGGTGTGACGGTCAGCAGCACRTTTGTGTCAAAGCCTGGGAACAGGGTTGTGTTATTTTGTCCAGGTTTTAAACTGAAACAACACCTGCAGTTTGCAGTTTTTCGTTCTCAACCACAAACCGTGTATATATTTTATAATGGATTAAATTCAGCTCATTTCATTGCTTTTTAAAAGCACAACCACGAGTAAAAACAAAAGTCAGATGACCTCGCTGCATCTTACTAACTCATATTTCTAGCAATCYATCATCCTGTAAGGTTACGCAGTTTCCCAGCTGATTTCAGAGTTTTTGACTGTGATTGAGCATTTTGGATCGTGCGCTTCGTCTCTGCGTTTCGTCCTCTCGGCTGTTGCTCGTTTCAGCTAGTTGAAAAAGAAAAAACAGCTGAATAGGAGCATCAGTCCAGACTGCGGTTTGCTTTGGTTTTAATGTTGTTATGCTGGGCTTTCCAAGCATGAAAAACAGCACGCCATCACACGCCAGCGCCGCTCTCCTCGTACCCACAAACCCTTGCATTTTGGGGTCATTCCTTGTAGCTTTGGCCTGGAGTACATTTTCACTCTGAACAAAACACATTGTGGTTTTCTTGGAAGAGAAGCCTGACTCACATTTTCTGGCACACATGACCACTCATCTGGCAGGCCCCTGTGCTGCTCTGGCATTATTGTTCTCACCTGCCCTGAACTAAAAGGCAAAAGGTCTCTAAAAGTTGTAGGAAAAGATGCTTTTTCCTCACCAGCTCCTGCTCCTGACGACCCGTTCCCAGATACAAGGAGGCCATCACTACGCGCCTCTGTGCAGTTTTGATACGAGCCTTAAAGGGGGAAAAAAAGGAAGAAAAAATTACAGCAGTGATTGAGAGTGTAGTTTATGTGGGTGTTATGAATGTGGTAAAAGAAAAATGTGTAATTTTCTGAAGAATTGCAGTCTGCTGCATGTAATTGGCCTAACCAGCAGAAAAATGAAGGTAGAATTCTGCTGTGATGTTTAAATCTTTTAAAACATATACATGAACTATTATTACTGGTTGATTTATTAAATTTCACCAATGACTCTGTGAAAAAGATTCATTGAACACCCTGAACCTGCATTTGTGACTAAATAAAAAATAAGTTTTCAAACCTACACTCTCAAAATCTGTAAGAGTAGAACTAAAAGAAAATATTTATTAGTCTATAGAAAATGTACAAGTGCGTCATGCTTTGAGAATGTTTCCTCATCTGCACCCTTCCTCATCGTTGCCTCATTTACTTTCACTTCATTTAGGTAAAAAAAATGGTCAAAATAGTCAAATTAGTTTGGAAAAGCTGCCATACAAAAAGAAGAGAGGGTGGGAGTAAAACGGAAAGAAAAACCTAAAACATGATTTCATCCAGGATCACTAACCCCTGAGGCTTTCTTCTTAGATTACCGTGTTTCTGGTCTGACTGATTGCACTTTGTGTGGGGGTTCATTTTATGTAATTATAATCTGTGGGTGTTACTGTTTGGAGGAAGTTCTGATGTTTTCACCACATTCTGTAAGAGCAGTCAGAGTTTAGGTCACTTCAGCCCACAGACAAAACTCTGGTTTCAGCCAGTTCTGTGACCATGACTGGCGCCATAGTTTGTATGATTGTACTGATAAATTTCTCGTTCTTTTCCTGGTTGGGTATCTACTGTATTTTGTTATGTTGAGCAGAAATGGATAAAATCATTCTGAGCCAACTTTGTGCATWATAAAAGGAAAAAAACTCATGATCCTACAGAATAAACTGCAAACAAAGGGCAGCAAAGTGGGCAAAGTGGATGTTTATTTTTCTGTTGATGATGGAGGAAGATCTGGTATTTCTCATTAACCGAGGAGAAGTGACATTTTGTAAATTTGTCACAAAGACGTCACCAAAAATCTTGGTACCTTCTTTCACAAGTTCTTTGACTATCTTTAGAAGTTTTGCTGCGTGGAACAGTCGTAAAGTACTTTCAGTGGAGCAGCTGAAGTGAAACTCGCAAACACACCACACCAACAACATTGTGACCAATCACATTGTACCTGGCACATACCCTACAAGTTTCGCCTGGGCAGGGGTCATGCACAAGAATGGGTCTGAGCAGAGGGTGCAAGAAGAAAAATACCCTATTTTTGTCACACAACCACATCAGTGAGACTCAGTGTCTTATAAAGACATACGTAGGGATGCACAAGTTTTCTGGCTGATTGCCGATCTTTCAAATCCCTGACCTGCCAACTCCGAGTTTGGCTGATACTGATTTTCTTTATTTCTATAATGGACACTGTCAGGTGTTAAAAAGATCACAATACCCCTTCAATGTTCAGATTTTATTGAAAAATGTTTAACAATACCCTTGAAACAATACAAACCTGTTTTAACTGGACAACAGCCATTGGGGACGGTGGCTGATTTTCATGCCTTCGCAGAGCTAGATACTGGTACTTCTCGAGTATGAATTGACTGATTGCCGATTTCTCAAAATTAAGGAAATCGGGGCCGATAAATTAACCAGCAGATTTATCAGTGAACCCCTTACGTATAAAGGCTAAGGGCTCCACATACTCCATCCAACCAAAATCAGCTCTCATTGTCGCAGTTGCGTGACGAAAATTGTGTCATTTTGTTTGCAGCTTCGAGTCTTCCGCCTCTTCTTGTCACAACCTCCACATCAGAAGTTTTTGCGCAGTTGGTCAGAAGTTTGTGGGCATTTTGCTTCAACAACTACCAGTTCCTGACTGTTGTACGCGGAAGCAGACATTTATAAAGATAGTCAAACAGCCAAAAACTCATGAATGGAGATAAAACGGAGATTTTGCACGGAGGAATCTATGAAGGCGTGCGCGAAAACAAACTTCGAACAACCATGTGACTGCACATTGATTGTTCGGCTTCAGATAGGGTAYGTGGAGACCTTAAATCAGCTCTTAACCCTTACATTTCTCACAGAACTCTGTTTTTAATGATGAAAGGCAAAGAAATAAACAAACAATGCAAACTGTATCAGAATGAAATGACAGCAGAAAACTGGCTGGAAAAAGATTGAACATTTTGATGATGTTAAAAAAAAAGGCAAATGAAAATCAAACGCTTTGTAACAAAGCTTTCGTCTCGGTTTTAATACAAGTTTTCTAGTCATTCAAACAGATTTACATCACACAAGGTTCTCAGAGGAGTTAATGGAAACATTTAAATTAAAATATATGCAAACATTAATTTCAGAAATCCATGCCTCAAGTTGTCATTAAGATTGACGCTTCAAAAACCGCTAGAAAAATCAAATGATCTCCAGATTTAAGTGAAAATAAGCTCCTCTAATTTACAATTTGATTTTATTACGAAATATTTCATGTTCAAAACAATTTGATCCTAACTAAAAAGATAAATAAACATAATTTGTTTGATAAGTATGACCCTTTAATATATTTACTCCATAAACAAGCTGAGATACTACAGAGAAAATCCTTAATTCCTTTTTTATGTTGGATAAATTCTTTCTACGGTACATCATCTTTTTGACGTCTTACTTGAAATAGATTATGTTGTGGTTTAGTTTGTTTAAAACCTGTGACAACCACAAGAATTCTTCCAGCTGGTTGAGACGGTGACTGTGCCAAAACGAGCTATAAATATCATTGTGTACCATTCACACGAAACCTGCATATCTGTAAAAGGTCAAAGGGGTGGGGCCAAAACTGTAAATGACAGCTCAACTCATTGTGTGGATGGGCGTAAGCTTAGGAATGTCCTTTTTACCAGAACTAATTTTTTTATATAACAATAGCAGCCTAAGCTCCTCCACATATCATTTCTTTGTCACTGAGAAGGGTTGCACTTCAGTGTATGGAATAAGGGAAATAGTCTGGGAGGCTGCAAAAATATTAAATATAAAACAACATTTTACATTAAACTATGGATACTCTCAGAATAATATATTAAAGGATTAAATAAGACTTTCTTTGAGACCATTTAAACCAAATGATGGTTCATGGAGAAAGTTTGAACACAAACCTTCATGGCCAGGTAGAATTGTTCAGGGGAGGTCAGTATTTTGATGCTGCTCCCTGGAACCCGGAAGGCTGGCACTTGCTCCGCCATCCACTGGAAATGGGCGCAGAGGCCATCTGTGCCCTGAGCTCCGGCTGACCCGGTGGGCATGGAGACGCGGCGCGGAGCTGGKTTGGTTTCAACAAGCAAGGGAGCCAGTAGCAGCACGGAGGACCTGCCGGCGATCAAAACAAAAACAGATATGAAACATATTTACAGAACATGATGACTTCTGAACATCGGGTTTCACACATTAGCGGAACAGAAGACKGACTAAGTGGGTAACCTTATACTGCTTTGTAAACATAATTAAAYATCATCACTAACAATCATTTAACAGAAACCATAAAACACAATAATAACAAATCAACAGACAAAGGAAAACAAACATAACATCAAAATGTAGCTGAGAGGGTTCAACCAGGAACCACTAAAGCTAACCTTCTGCAGCTCAAGGTTTTGCAAGCATTCGAATATTCACAAATACCACACAGTGATAAAACCTCCACTTAAAACGCAACACCAAAGACAACAGAAAAGACCACAAGTGCAAACAAAAAAACAAGGTTTGTGTTCCACATTTCAGCATTCAATTACATGACAAAAGCCTAAAAATGTCTTCAATCCCTGATGAAAAATCAGTCATAGCTCTTTTTAATAAGCAAACAACATTATCACCATCTACTGAACTGGAGTGAAACTGGTGTTTCACAATCCCATTTCACCCCTTTTCCCTTGCTCCTTAAAGGGACAGTTTGGGACAGTTGTCAATAGTTAGTTCCTGATCAAAGGTGACATCAATCAGAGTCCTGAAAATTAGGCAATGGCAGAAATCTTCTTCCTGGATAGAATAAAGGCTGCCCAAACGAGGGTCTGTTTTGTTTTTTGGGCTTAGAAAACAACATCCAAACTTCTGCATAACACTGTTTAGCTCGTAGCTATTTCCTCAATCAAACAATGTCTAAGTTACTGCACAAATGTGTGCGTGGAGCTTAGGACAAACTGTATACATATAAACCTCCAAATGTTAATTCAACTAAATATTTAGCGCAGCTCACTGACATTATAAAAAGGTATAAAATCAAAAGAGTTTGTGATTCTTGGTGATATCAATTTGAATTGGGCTGATAAAACTTCCAAAGGCCTGAAAGCAATGTCTATAAACTTAGGGCTTCAACAGTTTGGATTCTCATTTGACTTATCGCGATCATGTACAAGTCTTAACCACTAAGTTGAAACAGAAATTATTTGTTTATTCAAAAATTAGATCCAATCTGACATCTTCTGTTTTAAATATCTATCTTCATGCCATTATACTCTCARCCATGTCGTACTGTTTACCTGTTTGGTCTCTTACAACAAATGAAATCTTAGAACCCATWGTTAGGCTCTACAACAGGGCCTACAAAATTCATAAAAAACTTCCTGGTTGGACTCATCACTGTACAGTTCTTTCATTGTCTGATGCCTTGACTTTTCAGAATTATGTTTTGTATAGTGGTATTAATTTATATTTTCAGATCTTCCAAGATGCTAATTATGGAACTCTCTGTGCATTGCTGCCCAAATCAAATTCTGGAAGTGGTCATTCAACTAGATCTGTTACAAAAGGACAACTGATATTACCAACTTTTAAAAACTGTTACGGCCAGAGGTCTTTCTTCTATGTTTATACTAAAGCATGGAATGACATTCCTCAAAACATAAAGTCCATTTCAAAACTACAGCCCTTTAAGAAGAATCTTGTCTGCCATCTGCTGGACACTTTTTGTTGTGCTCATATTTAGAGGACCTATTTTGCAAATGCTGCCTTTTTGAAATTTGGGATGCTTGTTTTGTCTTTGTGTTTATGGTGTATAATGATGTGATTGTGATGCTGTAATTCTGAGTGTTTATGTGCTGCAGAACAGGAACCTGCTGTAAAACAGCAATTATGCTGAGTCAGGCTTGATTTTAATAATCTTTTCCTGTTAAATAAATAAATCAAATCAAATCAATACATGTGATAGATTTCATGTACACGTATGTTTGCTCAGGAAAAATACTCTTGCTCTGGTGTAATGCCTTTGATTATTTCAATTCATTTTTCCCCTCAAGCATTAACAAAAAATGTGCTGAAGTATGTTGCAAACTAGAGATCTAGGTTTTTTTTACACACATTATCGACCACATCAATGTGGAATGTGATAACTACTCTTTGTGACTTTCAAATTAAGGGTCAAAGAGGCGGTGAAGAGTAAAGCCAAGTAATGGAATTCGGCCAAAAACTTTGGTGCTTCTGACTGAAAAATAACAGAAACGTCAGGGATATAAATTGTGAGGATACCAAAACAAAAAGTGAAAATCAGATAGTGAGCTCAGGGAGTTAATGTGTGGGGATCTTCCTGGTTTGTTGAGATTTGAATCCAAGTATATTACTTTAAATCATAAAAAACACTGCAAGAAAGATAACATCTTTGTTGCAGTGAGGTGTAAAATGAGTCATAATGTTTTTACAGCTGTGCAAAAGCTATGAAACAGACTTCACCCAGCTAGTAGACTGTGTTATATAAGAAGCAGCTGATCTACTCCCTGCTTTCCGTAAGTTGTAAAAGATAAAGCAAACAGATAAGTTGCTTACTTTCAAATGCTAACACTACCGACACTGAGATACAAGTCTCAGTGGACAGAAATTATGTTAAACAGGATTTTTAAATCCTCGAAAACGAGCAGAAATACAGAAGGAAATTGACACGCTTATCTTTTCCAGACTTATGGGCAATGTTAACAATGCAAAGCCTGAGGTGGTAAATTCAATGATGAAACAGAGATTAACTCCGGCACTTGATCAAACCTGTCAGATCTGTGTTGATTTGGAGCACGTGGTTTCAACACATCTCTGATTCTCAGAAGTCAAATCTATGCAGGTGTTCACTGAGGTAAACTCATGTCATCCTCATTCTTTTGTAATGGGACCTGCAGTATCTCCATTCAGCAGCATACAGGAAAAGTTGATTTATTTTTTCAAGTTTTGGAATGTCGACTGAGGTCATCACTCAACATTGGGGCAAACTGACAATAATGACTAACAACATTTTAGGGCTTAAACTTGCTTTAATTTTCACTTTGCAGTGATTCTTCAGGAATGCACATCTTTGAACAAAACGGGTGATCATGTTCAAAAGACTTGTTTATTTTTTTTAAATGGCTTTGTAACAGATGTATGTTCACACTGGTGATATAAAGAAGTCTTTGACATTGTTTGGACTACTTGAGGAAATTATTCAGAACATCAATGTTAGTTAAAAAAAAACTGGTAAAAGCCACATGTAGGTGGAAAATTCTTATTTTAGACTCCAACTAGTTTTGATTAAATTATTTCCTTTTGGGAACCAACAGGACCAACAGGAAGTGAAAACGACCCACATCAACAATGCCGTATCTCTTCCTCCAACGACTTCGGTCACTTCAAAGACATTTCAAGCATTTTTGAATAAAACAAGCCTCTAACCGTTTAATACAATAATGAAGTATATTGTTACAAACACAAACATAGAATGAGTCATGCTTCTTTTCAACGGGTGGAGCATTAGATTGAACATCCTGGTTTTGATCTTTCACATAAAATTAACGTTTACACTTTTTGAATAGAAAATGGAGAGTTGGACAGGTTTAGCTAATTATTTAGGCACCATTTTTTTTTCTTATTTTAGCCATCTAGCCATTATCTTGTTGTATCGCGGTCACCCTTACGAAGTTTACAAAATTTATTTACATAGTGTAAAAAAATAACTCTTGGTAAAACCGATGTTCGGCATGGTACCCTGTGGCGCCACCAGCTGAAAGAAAGCATTAGAAAACCAAATACGCTCCTCCAGCTAAACGCCTGCTTACGGAGCTCTCATGCTACAAAGGTTAGAGAACATGACCCTGGAAAATACTTGACGTGAGAGTTCACTCTTCCCTACGCTAAGGAGTAGAAAAAAGGAAGACACGAAGAAAACAAACAAGCAGGCAAATGAAAATTATCAACCTCATTTTAATTTATTGAGCGATCAATTGATTTATTGCTCATCGTCTAAAACTATGTGCCATTTCTTAACTAGTTGCAACATGCAAACCAACATTCATTCATTATTTTCACAGATTCCATTGAATTTATAGGACGTAAACAAATTTGAGTACAGGAGAATAGAGCGAGAGGCTGAGTAAATAATTCGATTAGGTGACTTTTTTGTTCCTTTGTCTAAATTAAAGCATGTGACTAAAGTAATCTTTTCCTAAATTATCAATAAGTAAATAGCCTGATTATTATATTTCACAATTTTCTCAAAACATGCAAAGTAATATTGTACTGCTTGTCCTTATGTAGTTTCACCTGTTTTTCTGTTGCACTATGCTGAAAAACCCCGCCCTTAACTTCCCATCTGTGTCTGTGACAAATTCCACTTCAGTCATTGTTACCAGCCTAGCAGCTTGGTTTGCAAATTGTCATTAAAGACAGACACTCAATTTAAGTGCTGTAACACACTGAACAAAGCGTGCCTAAATTCCACTGAAGGTTGTTCCCAGAAGATCCACACAAGCATTGCCCTGATTCACCTCAGCCTAACATGCAAAACAGCACCTTTGACTGGTAACTGTTGAGGTAAACCAAGGTTCACAGTCATTTTACATGCAGACAGAAAGACATCAAAACACTTAATCAAAGCTGTTTCTGTCAACATTAGGTGCGGGTAAAATACTTCAGTTAGCTCAAAATTGAAAATGTTAAAATTAAAGGCATAACAGACTTTACTGGCCATGCAATCATAAAACAAACATCTGGTATCTCAAATACTGGCTGCAAAAATATAAATATAACTAATGCTTTAGCGTTCCTTAAAAGAAAATGCATATCACAACCTTTCATGACGGAGTTTTAAACTAAAACTATTTTATGTTTAGAGAAATAATGGTGTTCTGGATGTTTTGGTCAAACCTTAGTTGAAAAAGAAACAGAAGAAAAAGAAGAAGAATCAGCATGACGGTGTGGTCGTTGGAGCCGTCGCCTCGCAGCAAGAAGGTCGTGTGGAGTTTGAATGTTCTCATCGTAGTTTTTCTACAGGTACTTCAGTTTTCCTCCCATAGACCAAAAATCATGCAGGTTAGGTTAATTGGTAACTCTAAATTGGCCCTAAGTTTCAATAAGAATGTGAATGGTTCGTTTGTCATGTGATCTTATGATGGACTTTTGACTTGTCCAGGGTGTCCTCTGTCTCTCATAAGGGTGACTGCTGGACATAGACACCAGCTCTCCCTGTGACAGAAGGGAAAGTGTGTAAAGAAAATTGGCAGATGGATAATAATAATAATAATAATAATAATAATAATAATAATAATAATAATAATAATAATAATAATAAGTAGAGACAGACATTAGGTTTAACTGGAAACTACTTCTTTTTTGTTTGAACTCTGATATACTCTGTGACGTGTCGTGCGGACCTCTTGACCAGGTCACCCTGTAAAAGAGATCCTGATCTCAATGTTTAAATAAAGGTTATTGATTGATTGATTGACTTCTCTTTGAGTTAATACACTCATTTATTTGGAATACTTGGCTTAGCTGCATGAAAAGCAATTACAACTGTCTTAAATCTGACATCCCTAATATAAATAAATAGTACAATATCATCTATGATATAATTATGATGAAAAGAATCACTTTCTCAATGAGACATCAGCAATGCAAATTTGAAGACACCCGGAAGAAATGGAAAATGTACATTTTCCTGAGATGCTCTTTTGTTTAGATCACTTTTTCTTTTGCTTTCTTCTTCTTTTTCAATAATTTAATTTGTGATTGGATTCAAATGACCCTGACTGTTGTAAAGTTGGATACTCTGCATACTGTTCTTTGAATACCTGTTGGTCTTCTTGTTGTTGTTGTTGTTCAACACATAAAAATAATAATAACAAAGATTAGACTGGATAATTTTACCCAGACTGGAGTCTGTGATATGCAAACTTTTGCAAAGCTTTTATTCTATAGCGTGATATAAACAAAAATTTGTTTGTACAAAGTGTCCTACTTTATTAGAATTGAGTGTAAATGTATTAGTTTGGTTATTATATTAAGACTCATGTGATCAAACAACACAGATCTGGAAAAAAAATAATATAATAGAAATTAGAGAACATTTTGTTGTTTTTTCCAATAGCAATACAGACAAATAAACTGTGTTAAAGTCAGACACTTTCTGGGTCAAACACTTGCAAGAAAGGCACTAAAAAATAAGTATAGCATTCAAGTCCGAGTTCTTCTGATTGATGCTGAAAGAAAAACATCCTGCTGGCCATGTTCCAACTGTTTGTGTTTGTTCATCTTTCAGAAACCCTACGTGCCTACCTCTGTAAACAACATACACTACCAGTAAGGCTTTAATAAAACCTTTTATATAAAAATAAACAGCTTGCTCTGGGTGCAGCTGCCACTAACAATAAACACAGGCTGGACAAACGTGTTGGCGCAGTTTCATATCTTTTCCTGTAATGATCAATGACCCAACACACTGACAGGAACTTGAAACCTGCTCATCTGAATGTAGTGGTTTCTATTCTAGGCCATTCAATGCCAAGACAAAAAGAAATGCGTTCGAACTTTTCAGTGAGAAGATCTATTGTTTGTCTAAAAAACGACTAGCTTTAAAGCAAGGGCGTGTCATTTGGATCAAAAACGTCACCTCACCTGCAGATCTGCTCTTGAAAYGTCAATGTATAATGTTCCGACCTCTGTTCAACCTTTGAGAGGCATAATTCRTGATGTAATAAGACGAGATAAAGCCAGGGTCAGGTTCGGCGACCCACTTACAAAAACTCAACTTCAAGGTTAACAATTGCTTTCAAAGTCTCAAGAGTATAATACGAAGCTCTAATAATGAATATTTTCAAATAAAAATGTGGCAACGTTAAGCTCCACATTAACGCAGAATTAAGTATCTCCTAGAAACAGCAGTGCCGAAATTRCACGAGTCCGATAATGGATGCAATTGCAGCAACAACATTAGCAAGGCATGCTAATACGCAGAACGGTCCGGAATGAAAAACAACATTTTAACTCCGTGTGTTTGTCTGACCCGGTTACCAGTGACTCTTACCCTCTTCTTCTGTCATGAGCGCGAAACAGACGGTCGGATATCCGAGTAACAACCCCTACAATGGCCGGCGTGGACACAGAATGCACTAGCCACCTCCATGACATGGGAGCCGCCATTGTTGCAGCTCCTGCGTATTCAAAAAAACTTTATTGACAAACTTACAGTTCACAATGCGCTCTTAGAATAAGAGCGCATTGTATCCAGCACTACTGGAAATAGACTAAATAAATAGACTAAAGTCTTTTAAATATATAGCCTGCCTATAAACTAAAAATGGTTCATATGTGTGTTAATGATGTTACAGTTCTGTGCAAAAGTCTTGAGCCATTCTTTTTCTTCCAAATRACTTTGTAACCGTGCGCATCAATGGCTTTTCTGAAGGTCTTTTGAAAGTTTGTTTTTTACTTTGACAATTTTTTTCTCGCTCTTTCAGTCCAGTAACTAACCATTTTTAGTGGTTTGGTTTAACACTTAACTCTATTTCATTCATGGATACAAAGTTCCACGAACACAGGGGAAAAGCAGTCTTGAGTGAACACACAATTTATCAGATTAGTGTAAGGGTCAGCTTACACTTCTTATAACAAGGTTATAAGAGTAATTTAATTAGCAAGGATCTCTTTTATTTTTGGATAAACATTTCTTTAGTGCAAGAATGAATGGACACAAAAAGTAACTCTCAGTCAGTGAATGTTGATTTGAACCATAGTATGTGATCATTTATTTTACAAATCAAACAAAATTGACTATCGAGTACACCTGATTGTGAACAATTAATTTCTTATAAAAAGTTTTGGGACCAACAATAACAAGCTTTTAACTTCTTAATTGTTAACCACACTTAAATAGAAACACAAACGTCAGCTTAGATGTTAAACACCAGACATTTGAGGCTGTTTATCTTAGGRKWKGRCARGGSMARGKTWARRAAAAGKTKGAAGAAAGGTGTTAGCTTTTCTACTCTTTATCTTAAATAATGTGGGTTTAACCAGAAGGGCGAAGCGTTCTGTGCTCAGCTTTGGTCAGACCTCGACGTCACACACAGCCAGCTTTTACCTTGAGATGATGTTCTGTCACCTGCCAGGTAGGCGGGGGCGCTGCTGGAGAATCTGTCTTTAGACCGTCGAACAGGGGGCCCCAAGGCGTGCTCTTTGACTCGTTTACGTCCACGTCAGCCGTAACCAGAAGACAAGGCCTCGACTGGAACCCAGGTTTTAAATAAAACTTCCGTCTGGAGAGTTTCTGAAGGTGGATAAACCAGGCGTTGGTTTTCCACACTGTGGGGTTTCCCCGTTGGCGTGAAGGGGCCAAACCTGACACAGTTTTCAGCTTTTGATTCCCCGGAGAGAATCTAGCTGTCACAGTGACTGACGATGGTCCGTCACCCTTTTCTCACTAGTGGACAGGCGGAATTGTTAGTTCCTAAAAGCTTAGAGAATCTATGGTCCGCCCTCCAGAAGGTTAGATTAGAAAAAGAAATTATCAAGGAAAGTGTTAGTTGCAGAGCTCGCTGTGGCCTCCTGAAACTAAAACAAAGATTATTGCTGCTGCTGTGTGGTTCAGAACAACACATTTCATGACCCATTTAAATTATCTGATGAGCACTTATTTAAAACATAACTGAAAGAAAAATGAATTGCTTCAAGTTCAAAACATTTGCAAATATGATTCAGACAAGTAAAACATTGATATTTCATCAACTTAAACCATAAAGATTATTTTAGTTAAATAAKAATTTTTCCCACAGAAAAAAACCATACATAGCTGAAATCATACTGAGGGAGAAAAGAGATCTGTCCTCTCTTCTCCTGTAACTTTGATAAACTGACATTCTGATTATCAAAATGCGTAATACTTTCAGTTAAGAGAACACTAAATCAAAAAAGAGAAGATTCTTCTGTTTTTATCTGATTTAGAAGGAAAGTGGCCTTGGGTGGCCTAAATACAGATCTAAGTGGAACAGAGTTTTTGTCCATTCGAAGGCCCATCAGAGGATCCAAGATAGTTCCTTGATAATTTGACTCAAGGTGACCCCTACATTAGATAACTTTATTCATTTACTATCTTGTTTTTGCTGACAGATAAACCACAGACAATRTGTTCAAATTGGCTATTTGTTTAACAGCTTGTTCCAGTTCATTTGCATATTTAAGCAAATCATTTCAGGGAAACTGGGATGCAAAAAACACTGATATTCCACTGAACAAGCTTCACAGTTTTCTCTGTGATCTCTTCCCATTTTTTTTTTCATTTGCAAAACAAAGTTYAAGCAGAAGTTTAATCAGCTTTTGTTTTTTTTATTTCCAAACATAGACACACCTAATATTTGTATTTTTATATTTACTTTTTCAAAGGATTTAACAGAAGATGCATGTGTTTTTGTTATTTTTCAATCAGTAAAGCAAACTACCAAATTTTAGTTTGACAGTCAAACTGAGTCGTATGTGTTGCTAAAGATGCTTAGATGTGGCAGCCAATGAGATGCCAAAATTAATCAGTTGAAGATGCTCATCTAATAGCTTTTAACAGTGTCATTAGAACCCATCCACTGGTTTATAATATATTTTACTAACTGTTTAGGCAAACATAGACATGTGTAGAACATGAGTCTGAATGCTGCCAATTGGTGAAGGACATTGGTTTCATAATAAACTTCTTGCATGAGTTGACATACACATAAAGTTTTACAACACAGGTCTTTTCCTTGTAAAAAAAAAAAAAAACAGGCCAGGCAGGCCTTAAGCAGTAGTAATATCAGTTGCTCAAGAGCACTTACAGTAAGCCAGATGCTTCCTGGCACAACACAACAAACAGCCTCAGGGACTTTGTCTTCATGGATTTCACCGACTTATAAGATAGTGGAAAATATGTTTGCATCTTGAGGGGAAAAGTCAAAAGCAGATAAAAAGGCTGGATAAWTTTTTTTTGAAGATGTATTTTTTGCTTTAAAGGTAAGATGTTTATCTTCTGAAACTCAGTGGGTGGTGGGGGGTGGGTTTACTGTTTGGCAGCACCAATAACGGTGTTTGAATATGGTGTCAGCAAAAAGCAACGATTGATCACTTTAATGATTAATTCGATTTGACTTAATATATTTAAGTGTTTTCCTTAACTTCTTGTCGTAATTAAATCTCGTATTTATTTGGTAGCATTTGTGATTTTATGAGCATTAATGTTTTTTTTTTCTGTGCATGTTTGTTTGTCTGTACTTTACCCAAACATCTCATGAATGATTGAACAAACCAACGATAATCATCTAACTTCCCGCAAACAAAATAACAGGCGCAGACCCTTGTGACCCCAAATATTACTGGTTTACATATGCAAACTTTGCTTATAACTCTGTCGAACATGGTTATAATGACATACTTTTATTTATTTATGATATATTTATTTATTGCTATTATGGTTAGCAATTTATTTGCATTTAAACTGGTGTTTGTAAATCATCCAGAGGGGTCCTGACCCCAACTTTGGGAGCCACTGATCTAATCAATTAACTTTCAGATCATTAAGAAATCTTAGCTAAAATAAAAATAGTTTTGATCAATTTAAGGGAAATCAAGCTAAAATCCAGCGTGGTGGTAGCTGAGAGTGATACACAACCCACACTCTGGTGCTAACCAGTTATTTGAGATGTAACCTTAACAATAATTGAATCAATTGTTAGCAATATATCTCATAACCCACTTGAGAGATTTTATTTAAACTTTCATAAAGTAATTTGTAATCATCTACATATGAATAACTTTTAGAATCAATTGAATTTAAGATAATAATCATCATTATGCTAAAAATGTATCAGTGAATTTTAAATTTGGTGTGATAGTAGCTGAGCGTTGTCCGCAACACATAACTTGAGCAAAAACATTGCAATTGGAGTCAACTCTGTCTGTTAAAACATCTTATTAACTACTGTTAACATTCTCATATTGTGATTATTTAGTGTGCATTTAAAACAGGTTAAGATGACTGCCACGGATTCTGCACAAAAAAGCTATAAATCTTTGAATTTTGCAGATTGCACTAAAATTATGGAAGGTAGTAGCTGAGAGTGATTCACATACTGCAGGCAATAATCCAAGGAATGGCAGGCCTTTAATTCAAACACAGGGTTTGTTTTCCATGTATTGTTGTGTAAAAAAAAAAAAAAAAACTTAAACACCCATAAATATGAAACATTAACTGGATAAAAAAAGGTTGTGTTTATTGTGCCACACGCGGAGCCTTTTAATTTTTTTTTTCACCTTGTCGAGAAAGGGAACCCATCAGTACCAGGAAACCGCGCAGGCAAAGGTCACGACGATTATTTATTGGCCAGCTGCCAAAGCGCGAGCACGCCGGGCGCTTGTTCGCTGCGCGCGCGAGTGCGGGGGGAGCGCGTGCGTGTGTTTACTGGAAGAAGGTCTGAACGGGGGGGAGGCGGAGCCTTACGAACATTCGGCACAACCTCCTGTAACCTTCCTCCACACGGACGGAGCACACCGTCTCTCCCACCCCCGTCCCTCCCTCCTCCCTCCCCTCCTTTCACAAACACACACGGAATCTCTCCGGGCAGATGTCCGCCTGCATTCCTCCGCTCTGAAAACAAACACACTTATTTTTGGATACCTCATTTTCTTGTTGTGGGATTTTAATGCCTGACATAATCATCCAACTAGCACTACTTTCGGGTAGTTTGCGCAGCTTTTTCTTCTTCGGCGACGAGCGGCTGCGGCGCGGAGTGGAACAGATCCGCGAGGTAAGTTGTGTGTTAACACTGTCCGGTTCGTGACTAAAATTACAAAGCAAAAAATGGTTTTAAAACGACACATTGGTGTATGGGGGGGCTGTTTGTACGCACAAAACAGGAGCCCGATAAAAACGTAGCGACTTCCCGGCTAGCGGTTCGGTTCTGTCCTGTCCTCGAGCCGTAGTAGTAAAAGCAAACCAGACCGGACACCTTTTCAGTGAAACCGGAGAAAGGCCCCTTGAAGCAAGGAGTTTTTGTTTAAAACAGGGAGGAGGGAGGAAGGGGAAAAAAAGGAGTGCGGGGACTGTTTCACAGAGTGACCCCGATTCAGAAATCCCTTGTTGCGGTGCGCCGATCGAAGACAATTGAAAGCAATCAGGATCCAGTTGCTGTCTGGCTTCAGGCTCAGCGTGAGTACGCAGAGCCTTCATTTAAACTAAATATAACCTGCCCAGCTGCCCAGAGCTTCGCCGTGCATTTGTCACAGTCTCCATAGCTGCGTTTTACGTGGGTAAGCTGAGAGCTGCAGTGTGGCGGAGTGGTCATTTGTTAATGTCACTGCAGTGGTTGTTTCAGTGTTGGCATGTCATCCCTAATCTGTGCTTCTTTTTCTTCTTCCAGCTGTGTTTAGGTGCTCTCTCACAGCCCCTCTCTGGATGCATCGGACTCCCCCTCCCCGGGGCCCTGGACCCGGTGTGTGACCCCGTCTCCCTCGCCCCACTCCTCCTCTGCCTCCTCTCCCCGTGCTCCTCACTCCTCGCTGCCTGCCCACGAAGAGGATCCCATCCTGGGCCCCCTGCCCCTAAGCCACCGGGCGGAGGCAGGGGGCCATGGGGCCGTAACGACCCTCAACGGACGCAGGCCCCCCGCCATGAGCAGCGTGGCCCCTCCAGAGGGAAGGGTTCAGGGGACGAACTTCACCCCGCTTCACTACAAACCCTTCAGCTCGCATGAGCACTACCAGCAGGTCGGTCAGCTGCAGGGGTCCGCGTCTTTGGGCGCCTCCGATCACACCTCGAGCAAAATCCCGAGCACAGCATCGTAAAAGAAACGAAATGTTTTGCTTTATAAAGCAGCTTTCATTCAAACGAGATTATAGGAACAAAAGGAATTACGATGCTGAGCACAGTGACAGAGTCTGTAGCTGTGGTGCTCAAACATTTTCCCCGAGAGGGCCAAAATGAATATCTATCCAGGGCTGCGGGCCAAATGCGGTAATATAATACATGAAATACAAATACTTTTGTAAGTAAAGTCTTTTATTTTTAACGATTAAGCTGTGCAATGGCCCTCTTTAGTTTTAGTCTGCCAATGGCAGACTTTCTCCAAGTGCGCAGACTAAAACTAAAGAGGGCCATTGCATAGCGTAATCGTTAAAAAGAAAAGAAAAGTAGCAAAGGCTCATGGGACATTTCATAAATTGATAAAATATGAGTTTTTGTGGCCTTATAAAGCGTGCAAATCKACATGYGKGGTTAAATCTGATCTAAATATTTCTTGTTGTCATTTCATGTTTCATGTTTAATCCTAATAAATCAAAGATAAAGTCAGCACCATGAATGAAAACTACCTTCACTACAGCCCTTTTATATAGTCATTTGACCAATGGGAATACTGTGTTTCTACATAGGATAACAGGTTACAACCTTGTAACTCTGGCAACTGTTGGCGGGCCAAATTTGGCCTGCGGGCCCCACTTTGGGCTCCTCTGCGTTAGAGCTATCTTAGGTGCTGATTGGTTCTGTTGGACAGAATATCTCCCCTGTAGCTTGGTTATTATCCCAAGGTATCAGGTTGTGTCTCACTGGGCTGTGACGGCTGGAGACTAATTAATGACTCAAAATTGTGAGAAAACAGACAAATGCTCAGTTGCAGTCGCACTGAATGAATTGTGTGAAAAGCATAGGCAGTCTGGACTTATTTACAGGACATTGTTGGCATTAAATCGATTATTGTTATTTTTTTTTATTGTTTTTGTTGTTTTCCTTTAGATTATAATCCACACCTTTAGTCAACTGCATGTATTGTAGTGTAAATACTCAGCCTGACTCTTGCCGTATGATAATTGTASACTCTCCCTGCCTGTTTTAGGTGATGTGTGCTTTGCAGAAGCTCCAGGAGAGTGGCTTTTACTGGGGAGCCATTGGGGCTCGGGAGGCGAGCTCCATGCTGCGCTCCGAGCCTCCCGGCGCCTTCCTGGTCCGGGACTCGTCCGACCACCACCACTTCTTCACCTTGTCCGTGCAGACAGCCCGGGGAACGAAGAACGTCCGCATCCACAGYGAGGGAGGTGGCTTCTTCCTGGAGCCAGACCCTCAGAAGTCCCAGGAGCCTCCTCAGTTCGACTGYGTGCTGAAACTCATCGCCCATTACATGGGGAAAGGGATGGATACGGGAAGGACGAGGGACGGGGCGAGCGGAGACAATCCGGGAGATGCAAAAAAGAAGGGACGCACCGTTTACCTGATCCACACGGGCAAAGAGAAAATCCCCCTGGAGCTGCGAAAGCCCCTGCTGAGCTCGCTCTCGTCCCTGCAGCACATGTGCAGGAGGACGTTGAACAACGGGGGCCACGGGGCGCTGGGGCAAACCGAACAACTCCCACAGACACTGAAAGACTTCTTGGAGAAGTACGACGCTCCTATATGACTGACCGGAACCGCAGAGGTTCTACTACACGTGCCGCGCGCCTGGAGGGGCACGCCAGTTCTCAGCGTGAACGTTTTGCGCCGCCAGAAACTGACCAGACTGAGCCTTAGATGCTAATATAAGGTCATTTTTTTTAAAACCCCATTGTGGCTAGAATCAGTCAATTTCAGAGCTTTTTACTCACAGATGGACTCTAAAGGTCCTGGTTTTGTGATTTGGGTAACCAACGATTACCTCGTCCATCCTGCCTTGGAGAAGCTAATGCAAAGTGGCAGATAGAACCAGAGGCTTCCTCATGACTGAGTCAGACGCAGAGCAGTGTCTCGTAGATTAACCTGGTTGATGTAAACAGTGCAAGTAAAGGCTTTTGTGTTTGAGAAGCAACACTTTTGACATTTACAACACTGAATCACTGGACAGGGAGAGAGAGGCAGATGACAAAAGAGGCTGGGAAATAGCTGCAGAGGGGGGGAAAAAATGCAAAATCCAAATCAGGAGGCCCAGCGTGCAGTATTTGTTTGTCTGAGCGTGTGTTGTGGTCGTGCACATATTTCCATCGCTGTTTCCCGCAAATGTTGAGAGGAGTGGGCTGGCCAGGCACGCTAGCTCCACACACACTCATGCAGGTAAAGGCCCACATGAAGGGTTTGTTACAGTGGGACCAAAAAAAAAAAACACAGTCATTACAAAGCATTTCTCGATCTCCCGTTTGTTTTGTTTTCCCTGTCCTCCATGATCCTGCCCTTTGAGCCATAGTTTGGCGTGGGACCAATCCAAAACGTTTGTCCAGGTAATCTCACTGGGAATTGGTCATTTTAATCCCAGAGACTTGAATACAGAGCGAAAAGATAATTGGAGGGAAAGAGAGGAGCAGGAAGTGGGTTTAGGAAAGATAAATGTAAGAGAACAAACAAAACATGGATTTAACTGGCGGATGGAGTTCAACAGGTTGCCGCTCCTGTAAACATACCAGCCGATGCGACAAGTCTTAATCCTGTGGCCAATTATTCCTCCTAACTCAAATGTCCCGGCGTGCCTGAGTCAGCTCTCCCTTCWGGGCTTCCTTACATCACTCTCGGGAGGAAAAACGCTGTTATATCAACTATTGTTTCTTTCCCATCAATGCCTCCAGAAAAAGATCATTTTGTCAGTCTGAAGGGAACAAAAGACTTCCCATAAGTGATTCAGTGGAGAGAGAGAGAGGGAAAAAAAGAAGCCTTTCGTAGAACAAATTGCAAGACTCGGCTCTAACCCAGATTATGTTCAACTTGTGTTTTTGCCCTGTGCTCTTACTCACCTGTGATCCATATTGGAGCTTTTTTTTWAACATCAAGAAGCATTTTGTTGAGTTTTATCTAGCCACGATGACGCACATGTTGTCTTTTGTGTCGTTTTGGTTCAGAACTGGGTCTTGCTCTCTTACCGACACCAAGTTCTTAACGTGCGCTGCACCAGCAGCAGACCACATGTTTGTGAATCATTTTGTCTTTTATAAAGACTCTCTTGCAAAAGGCTGGCCACAAAGTCTGGCGAAATACAAGCTGTAATACCTGAAATGACGGAAAAAAAAAAGAAGCATTACATTATAAATGAAAAAAGGAACGTTGCACATATTTATATTTCTAAGATATTTCAAGTAATTTATATTAAAGAGCACTATTTTTACAAAAGCCAATCACGTGCCCTGCGTATTACTTCACTGTTTGTCTCTCTCTGCTTTTCCCTTCTCTCCCTCTTGAGTCAATATTGACTGGGTAACTTACTGTAATGTGTTATAAAGCGCTCTGTATTTCAGCGATTCCTGGCTTCACAACAAGATTATTTGCTCTCAGAAGGGATTTCCTCCTCGGACAAAGCAGTGTTTTATACAGTCGGCGCGCCGCCGAGGAAGAGGAGCAGCGCTGGACGTCGCGGGTGAATTTCCATAGGAGTGTTTGGAGAAGGTGGACGCAACGCGCCGTGACAAAGAGACTCCCTGAAACAACAGAGCGCGCGTGAACTCCCCGTCGCGCACACGCAGTCCACGCAAAACCTTTGACACGCCAGTGGCTGCGCGAGAAAGCTCAGTTTGGGCTGGACTTAACTGGAAAAGGAATGCAGCCGGGTTTTATACATCCTGCCTGACGGTTTGAGAGAGGATGGTGTCCTCTGGGAACTGTGTGTGTGTGTGTGTTTGTGTGTGTGAGGTCAGGAAGGTGAAAGCAGACACGTGGATGAGATTTATGACGGTTTGTGGTTTCAGTGTGAAGCCAGGGTTGAGAGTAAGTGGTTGGTCAAGAGAGATTGCTGTTGGTAAAATTAAGCAGGAGGTGAGTTTCTCTGTTTTTTTTCTTTACCCCCACCTTTCTCCACACACATATATATACACACACACACACACACACACACACACGGTTCCCATTCCCTGCATACCTTGTGCTCTGTCTGAGGCTGGCTTCCAGGAAAGAGGCACTTTAATTGAGTTGAGTTTTTACGGCTTGCCTGGTGTTAGTGTGCGTATGAGAAGGAGCGAATGAGGTGTCTTTGTGTGCGATAAAGGATGGAGCTCTGATGGGAAAACTCATCACCTTTCATTTCCAGAGATTTAAATTAGGATCGTCCTTTAATAAATGGCAGCGTCATAGTTGTGTGGTTAAACCTTTAAAGGAGAAAAAAAACCAGGATCTAAAATGTGAATAAGTTCTGCAAGTGACTTTTTTTTCTGCGCTTACCTCAGTTCAGGTAATTGCAGTCATTCAGTTCCCATTTTGCTTTGACACCCATGAATGAGACTGTGTGTTTGTTTGAGAGGGAAAACTGAGCCAACTTGAGTTAAAAGACAAAACAGAACGGCCTTCTTCCCAAAAACCCAACCAGAACAATCCAGTTTTACACACAAACACATTGTCTAAATAAGCTAGCTCAGCTCACCATGACTCATTTTATGTTCCCCATAGTTGCCTGGTGAGTGGAGCTGGAATATTTTGTCCGTATATCCTCGGCTCCTCTTGTGAATCTCACACGCTCTCGCACAAAGTCTTTCCACCATGATTCATGTTTTTTTTTCGGGTTATGACTTGCTGTGTCCAGCTCAACTGCTGTCAACAGCCAAGCACAACACAGCTGGCTCCCGAACAAACCCAGCTCAATTCTGACTTTTCCTCTTTTCATTTCCAAGAACCAAAACATTCGACGCTGACGTTTTTGGGCATCGCCCCTCACAGCTTTAACTGTATGTTTTAAAACGGGCACTGAGAAAGAACAGATCAAAATCTTAAGTCTTTTTCTTGTGTGATTTATTGTTTAAATTCTGATTCAAAATTTCCACTCTAATGATCCTGTTTCTCTTTATTCTTTGTCTTTTTTTGTACTTTTTTGGACAAGTAGTTTTGCAAACTTTCTGCAGTTTTAACCAAACAAATGTCAAAATGTTCAGCTCATGCAGGACATTATGACTTATGCTTATTTGTAATTACATTTTTAAAGCTACTTCTTTGAAATGTCCTTTAGCATACTTGTATTTTTGTCTTCTAATGCTACTTAGAGCTTTTAGCTAATATGTTGCTACTTTTARCTTTAAGCTAATATTTTGCTACTTTTACTTCTCCATGTGTTGGTCACTTTTATTTTTAGACAGCATTTAGCCACTTTTTACTAATATTTTATGCTCATATGTTTAGCTTTTTTCTAGTTATACCCTTTTTTTTTTTAGCTTTTTTTCAACCTTTAGCTTGTATTGCTTACTTAAAATAGAATTTTGCTTCTTTGAACTCTTAGCTCGAAGTGGCTACTTTGAACTTTTTGCTTGCATTTCTTTTTACTCTCACTGAACATTTTAAATTTAACTTTGTTAGCCTTTTTTTTACAACTTTTAGCTACTGTTTAGCATCTTTCAGCTTCTAGTGTTTTCCTCCTTTTAGCTTCAGCTTCTTTTATCGTTTCAACAACTCAGTTGCAGCTTCTTCAGCGATTTTCCCCCTGCACTCATTCAGCATTCACAGCGTGCATTTTTTGCAGAAAATGCAATTTCCCCAGTTAAATTTCTGAGCTGCTGCCAAAGTCAGCCACCTTGAAAGGTGGAAAGAACATTAAGAGGTTAAGGAAAATGCCTCCCAACTGGCAACCTCTTGCGGCCTTCCAGGAAGGGCCTCCAGTTTGCTGATGATTCCTTCCAGGAAGGCTCTCTGCCGCTTGATTGGCTCTTATGGGAAATTTCGTTCGGTCGGCCCGTCGGCTCATGCATTGTCACAGCCGCTTCTGATAAAGCCGGACCAGCTTCCAGGAAACCCGAGATTTTACCCCTCCGGCATTCCATCATTCCTTCACCGTCAGAGCACACTGACAGAGGGAACGCGAGGCAACAGAAGGGAGTATAACACGGATCGATAAAAACCATATGGGAAGCGCACAGACTCAGATGTCACATGTGTCCAAACCTGTATAGACGTACGCAGCCCTGACATGTAGTAACCAGCTTGTGGTGACACATGAAAAAACACACTGAGTCAAACCGTTCTTCACGGACTACTCATCAGACCCCCCTTATCCTTACAAACACACACACACACACACACTCCCTAAAGCACCGAAATGAGTAACCTCGTTTTAACGCAGATTTGGTTTTCCCATAACACCTGGATCGCCTGACAATTGGGCGTAGCTCATACTGGCAGGAAGGTTAAATAAAATTAAAAGGCTTAGCTTCTTCTCAACAGGACTGCACATCACCCGCCGCCTTATAAGTCAGAGTTTTGAACTAATGATGAGAAGAGAATATTTGTTTTAGAGTATACGCTCTGAATGGGTCTCAGCTGCTACCGTATGAAATTTTAGCTGACGTTTTATTTTACTTTACATTTTGCCAGCATTCAGCACGAACATGGCACACTGCAGTGTGCTTAAAATGTAAAAAATGTTTGCGCGCAGCAGCTGCGAGACGTGTTATCAGCCCAGGTGGGTTGTTTTATCGAAAAGGGATTTTAAATGTGTTTCTTTTTTTTTCTGTTTCTGTTGTCCCTTCATAGCTGGGTCTACTCTTTACGTCTCTGTCAAACAGGTTACCTTGTAGCCATCTTTTGTCTTGTCCTCTTTGTGGTGTATTATGGGTAAWAAAAAAACCTTAATTAAAAGAATTGCTGTGAATATGACAGGACTTTTAACACAGTGGAACGGTAATCAGTGCTGCACATTTGAAACAATCACCTTTCCTTAAATATTTTTAATTACGTAATAGGAAATCTTTATATATTATCATATTGAGTTTAATTTTATAGTTGTCCATCTGTCTATCCGTTTTCTTCTGCTTATCCGGGGTCGGGTCGCGGGGGCAGCAGCCTAAGCAAAGAGACCCAGACTTCCCTCTCTCCAGCCACTTGGGCCAGCTCGTCCAGAGGAATCCCAAGGCGTTCCCAGACCAACCGATAGTCCATCCAGTGTGTCCTGGGTGTCTCCTAAATTCGAACTAAAATCGAACTGCTCGTTTTAAATCAATACTGTTACTTTTAATACATAAGTACAAAACACATCAGATACTTTTAGACTTTTACTCAAGTAATATACATAAAGGAGACTTTAACTTTTACCAAAGTAATGTTTTGGTAAGATACTTGTACTTTTACTCAAGTATCACTTTGTGGTACTTTATACAACACTGGCATCATGTGAGGTTGTGATTTTTTGGCAAGCCAGCAGTGACGCAGGAAGCCAGGCCTAACGACGTAGGTAAAAATGTCTGCAAAAAATCAGTTTTATACGCCCCTTTTTCACATCTAAAACATCTTTAAACGTGCAAAGCCCTGAAGAGCGGTAAGGTTTTAACCTTTTATTTTTTTTCTAGTTTACTGTTCTTCTCTGTCCTATTTCATTTTTTGTATATATGAAAAAAAAGCAAGGCTCTGCCCATAATTTTCTCATCCACTCATCCAATAACATGAACCATTGCATCAGAGATCGACTGGGCTGCAAAGAGATTGCTTTTTTCTTTGGGTGAAAATCAAATTCTTCTGCACTCATAGTTATTTTTTGGCTTCTTTACTCGTCCAGTTATTAATTTTGATGTCTTTTAATTCCAACAAAGCAAACATTATGCACAATACTTTAGTCTGAAACAAGTGAAGAGCTACATTTTTATTACATTGCAGTAAAAATGTATGACATTGACCCATTATGTAAAAATGTTTTGTGGAAGTTAACAGATTTGCTGCTTTCCAAGGCTTGGAGGCATCAGTGGTGGCTGCTACACAAGTCCACAGGCATGTTTTAGTTAAAAACAAATGGCTATATAATCAGTTTTACTTGTTGAATGTGCATACACCTGAGTTAATAACTATAAATGTCTGCTTTTACATTTCGAGGTGTTGGTGGGCAGCGCAGATTAGTTGTCGTTCCTCCAGATTCTGATGGTTACAGTGGGATGGAAAATTGTACACTGTACATACAGTAGCTCCTTTACAGGAACAATTTGAAMCTTCTCCWCCACCACCTGAYGCAAAAGAGTTGGAAAACATGCCCAAAGCTCCAMGCACCACCTGCCCAAAGATGGCTCCACTTCAAGCTCTTCCATTTCACATCAAGAGCTGCAAGGAGGAGATGATTGATCTGGACATCTCCTCTGAGGATGTGTGTCAGATGCTGGATATAAGCATTAAAGTGTTGACTGTAATTAAACAGTTAACTGATAAATTTAAGGACCAGATGCCTCCATGGAGCACAGAATATCAGGTGGAGATGGTAAGATTTTTTTTTGTTTGTTTGAATTTATCATATAATTTTCTGTGATGTRCATTCTGTATTACTACTGTAGACTGCTGAGTGTCCAGTGTGCAGAGGTATATTCAACACTGATATCACTGAGACCCATGCATCGGACTGTGGAATACGGTATCAGAAATGGAAAAATATTTTTAATAACATTTACATTTAGGCAGTGATTCTTCCATATGTGTKTTCTAACTTTTGTTACTGCAGATCTTCAGACCAAGAAGGGAGCATCTCAAATGAAACGAGTAATTACTTTCAAAAACTCTCCTAATTACACGCAGATGAACGAATCTCCTTTTTTTTTCTGAAACGTTCAATGATAAGAATAATGTATTTTAATTATTTTCTTCAATACTTTTTTTTAAATATTTCACCAGGTTCCATAATGCATCCTTTTGCCATGGTTGAATAATTATTTATATTTTGTAATTGAACTTTTTAATATTTATTGTGTGTGACACAATTTTGTTGCTCAGAAGAAGAAATCTTGAACTGGCTCAGCTGCCAAGTGGACGACAGCAGCACATCTTCCCTCTGCGTGTCAAGAGTTGACGTCTGCAGCAGAGGAAAGCAACAGCGGTAACGCCAGAAGAATTCCCGTCCAAACTGCAGACTGAAGGTTTCTTTTTTTGGGGAATCTGGCATTGACACAGGTGCTCTAAGTGAAGAGTTTCTAACAGGTACAGTTACACCACCTCAATAGATTTTTTTAATGACACTGGAACACTTTATCAAACACTTTTTTTATGTTCTTAATTATTCTTAATGTACAACAAATCATGCAAATTCTTAATTATTATTATTTTTTTGTATGCACAGACAAGATTGCTGAGATTGAAGACAGATTATTTGTGGGTGGTGCTGACAAGATGGGATGCCTTAACAGCCTGGATATTAATTTCTTTATGTACATCAAGCTGTATTTTTAAAAATAAAATACATTTAATAAATACACAATTATCTTAATTACTTCTTTATTTATTTTCTTGATGTTTAGAATGTCAATGTCCATTTTATTTATGAAGCACTTTTAAAAACAGCTAACAGCTKCACAACAGCAATCCACAACTATCACAAAAACACAACATTTGCTAAAAATGCATAATAAATTGCAACCAACAATAGTAAGAACAGATAAAATACAATGCCAGGCCTTACTTTAATTAAATGCCATTGAAAAAAGTTACTTTTAAGAAGCACTTTGAAGTTTTCCAACCTATGAGCTAGGGTTGGGAATAATCGTAKCGTGTGCAATTAATCGTCAGAAAAACATTAATCGATTATTTTTTGGCACTTGACGATTAATACGATGAATGCCACCAGGCAGAATCCGCTCGCTGCTCCTCTCTGTTTCAAATATGATGAACATAAAAAAAGTTCTGTAATTTATTTATCTATCATCACAATTTAAAATTCGATGTGTAGCTTGAAGTCTGTCATTTTGACACAATTCGGAACAGATTTTTATGAAGAGCAAATCTTTCCCACTACATTGGTCATGTGACCAGGACATAAAGGTGTCCAGGGACTCCAGGGGATTAATCGTCAWATTAATCGTTATCGGCTAAATACAACAATTAATTGTGATTAATTTTTTTGCCAATATTGCCCAACCCTACTATGWGCAGATCTAATATGAAAGTTGTTCCACAGACTGGGAGCAGACACAGCGAAAGCACGATCACCTCTACTCCTAAATCTGGATCTTGACCTCCTAGACGAAGAATGAGCATGCAAAARAACTTGAAGATAGGTTGGAGCAAGGCCATTTAAAACTTTAAAAACTAACAATTAMATCTTAAAATCAATTCCATAAGATACAGGTAGCCAATGAAGCCAACACAGGTGTTATATGCTCATGTTTCCATGTCAAACGTCGGGCTGCAGCGTTTTGAATGGAGACAATGAGTTACAGTAGTCCAAACGTGTTGTGATGAAAGCATGAATGATTTTCTCAAAATCTCTAAAACAAAAACAGGACTTCACCTTGGCTAAAAGACGTAAATAAAAAATGCCTGACCTGACATCTGAATTCACTTGCTTATCCAGTTTCAAACAGCTGTCAACGACAACACCRAGATTTCTTACAGCTGTCTGACAGGAAAGCTCAAATGCCAAATGATTTACAGTAACAAGCGTGGACTCTGACCCAGCCCTCTGAAGCTCTCAGGTGTCAGTGAATCCCCACAGCAGAACTGCTCAGTCTCAGCTGCTTAGCACATACACGGTCAGGAAGTGTTTTGTTTTTGGCTCACGAATCTAGAATTTGAACATTTTATCGGATAAAAAAATAAACATTTTGTGTTTGTTGTGTAATCTGCCTGTGTTAAATGTCGCAAGTGGAGGTTTAGAAATATCCTCTGGGTTACCAGCTCAGAAATCTGACTTCTTGTGACATTTTCTTTGATTGTTCTTGGTTCAGGAATCAGAAACTTTGACTTTGTTGCCATCTGTTGCAGCATAAAGCTGTGGTAATAGTCAAAAGCTTACTGGAAGGAAAAAATGTGTTGAAAAAAAAAAAGGGGAGGGATGATGTAAAGAAAGAAGAAGAAGCAGGAAAAAATGAAGTAAAGAAAGGAAAGTAGAAAAAAAGGAAGTGAAAAGTCAGAACGTAAACATCAGCAAAGGAATGTGACCAATTTGTCAGCAAAGTGGACGTCATTCAGGTTTGAAAACGTTTTGACCTGATTGTTTTTGCTTTAATTAATTTATGTTACATTTGGTGATTTAAGTTTAAGAATAAGTTAAATTACATTAAAATCCCTTTGACATCCATAAATTCATCCATTATTGTCCCAGAGTTGGGCAACAGCTTGATCAGGGAGGTCCTGACATGACTTTCCAAAACCCTCTCTTCCAGCTTTTCCAGGAGGATTTCAAGGTGTTTCATAAGCAAACGAAAAAGAAAAAAAAAACTAGTATCACCAGCGTTTCCAGTTCAATCAAACATCTCCATCTTCAACTGCTTGGTCGGGTCATCGAGGCAACAGGTCCAGGAGAGAAACGTCCCACAGCGACACTTTCAGTCACAGAGAGGATGCATGAGCAGCACGATGGATCAGTGGTTAGTTAGCACTGATGCCTCATGGCAAGACGGTCCCGGTTCTCATCCCTGGTTCGAACTCGAGGTCTATTTGTGCAGAGTTTGCATGTTCTCCTCATGCTTGTGTGGGTTTTCTCTGGGTTCTACGATTTTCTCCCACAGACCAAAAACATGCTTGTTGGGTTGCCTTCAGGCCCAGGCTGAGGTGGTCAGAGTACCCAAAAGTTGAACGTTGTACTCAAGTAAGAGTAGCACAACTTCCAGCATATTTTTACTCAAGTAAAAGCATAACTTAGCCATTAAAGAAATTCTCAAGTAAGAGTAAAAAGTATTTCAGAAAGAGGCAACTTGACAACCGAGCAACTCGTCATAACATCTGAGTTAATATTTTCAAATGATGCCACTGACAAAAACTAGAAAGTTATGAGCAAATTCAGGTGTTTTTAAAGACTAAAAAACAATTACATAATTACAAAATAACAAATTCTAGCAGAGGAAACACTCTTACAAGTTAAAATTTTATCATTATGAAACAAATGACTCTCTCTCTCTCTCTCTCTCTCTCTCTCTCTCTCT